TTTAGTTGTACATTCAACTTTCCCAGTCAACTTAGATCAAAGTGATTTTGAATATTACATTGATATGACATTTAACAATTTTCCAGAAGATCTCAGAGCAAGAAGAAGAATTTATATCAGAAAAGTCGTCAAAATCCTATATCGGAAGATATCACATTTGCTGATCATGAGAATGGTACAGTATCAGCGACACTGGTACAAATTTTATCTCAGAAGAACGATCGTAATGAATTGGAAATGCTTGTTGGCTCGGTTTCTCTTACTCGACGTCTATCAGAAGGTTCTTATTTATGTCGTTCACATTGGGAACAACATAAAGAGCCAGTTAAAACAGTTTTACAATATATCTACGGAAAAGAAGCAGAAAAAGAACTATCCTACGAATAAGAAAAAACTATTGCACTATGTTAAAGACATGTTTTGCACAAGCTTTTCTGTTCTCATTAACATATATAAAAACCTCGCAACATGTTCTATTCGAATCAAGGACATGCATTCATTAATTCTTTTTTATGTTGAATAACATTAGCGATCAGTATCGCTAACTTTGTTCGAGAAACCTTTTTAATTCATTAATAGAGACTGTAAACAACATCCAAGAGTTGAAAAAATTTTCTCTCCAATAAAGTAACAAAAATCGACTGTATGATGATCATTTCATAGAACAAAGTATCAAGACAATGGAAAGCGGAAAATTATTTCCGTATCCTTCATTTCGATTTGAAATAATAAAAAAATGATTTACAATTATATTACCATAGATGGAAATTTAAACAAGATTTGGTGAGCTTTTCATACATGACTTACCGAGGATTTCATCAGTCCAAATCAGCACATTTAATTGATTGAAATAAAAAGTAAAAGATGTATCATGGAAGTACTGGAATAATCTTTCTGATTTAGAGGGTTATCGTCGTGACTAACTTTTTAAATGAGTCACAATTAGTGCTAGAAACAACATCCTATAATGAATGCTCGTTTAGGTCGTGACTTAATGTCTTATTAGTAGCGTCCATGCTAGGTAGTAACTTATTCATTGTGAGCGTGGGTGTGTATGAAGAGAAAAAGAACATGCACACTCACACCCCTCTGACTAAAATTGAAAACAAGACCATATCGTTTGTGTGTCCTACAGTGATGGGATTCAGTTCGTGTTTTTTAAAACCGAACCGATTCAAAAATAAAGAAGATGAAGAAAATTTAGCAGTTTTTACTTTTTTTAGAATATTCCTTTAAGACAATTTATTGAAGACATGCATATAGCGTCTTCGATAGTTCTAAGAGAGGTCTGGAAAATTTAGGTGCAAGTATTTTTGGGAGCATCGGTATTTTTGTCTTTAAGATTTAAAAATGCTCCTCGCTGGAAAATACTTCAGCATGTTTTTAGTGGTTAGCCAATTTTTCCGTTAATCAAGAATCACTTCAGATATTTTCGTTCGTCGTTGAATGTAGAGTTTTAGGGACTATGATTTTTTTTTATAAAGCACTCATTCAATAGAAGAATATTAATTAATTTTAATTCTTAACTATCAAATAAAACCCCACTTTGGTTTCAACTTCCATGAATTTGATGGCCAAGAGTATTTAAAACTGAGCAAAATTATTTAATTATCATTTTAAAATAGATAATTTTAATGATATTCTCAGAATGTTTTAATCTTAAGGAGTGATAGTTCTGGTTACTTACGCAGGGACTTCAAGAATGAAAAAAGCTTCATAACTTTTTGTCAAAAACACGCAAAAATGGCGTTTCGGACGATGAGATGGACATTAATTTTGATATACTTCAAACTGCTTGATAAAGAAGAATATTAGAACAAGCGCATTTCATGAAGTTAACATTTTATCAAAATGATGAAACTCAGTTGATGAAAATAACCACTCTAATCAATGCTTATGAAATGCAAAACAAAATAATAGTCCCTTCATCAGAGAAACGCATCGTTTTTATTTTCAAGTGTCCCCATAGTTTTCAAATATTAAATACGAAACGAAACTTTATATTTGAAAAAACTGAACGTGCTTTTGAAGAGAAGAACTTGTTTCAAATAGCAGATTGCCATTCTTTGAGAGATGTTCTGCGCAAATGTTATACAGTCTTACGTTTTGAGAAGTAATTTACATTTCAGTCATACTTTCCAGCCATTTTTTGTGGTTTTGTAGTTTATGATTTCAACGTAGTGGGACATTTGACAATAATATTCTAATGATGATGGGATGTATGTATTGAAAGAGGAAGTCTTTCCCTTCAAAACACAACGTTTTTTCCCAAATTTAAAGTTTCATTTCATCTTTAATCTTTTGAAAAGTAATAAGCACTATGACTGGTTAAGCTTCAAAAGTCTGAGAATCTCAGTGAAGTTAAATATTTTGAAATATTAATTAGATCATTTTTTTCCTAACGTTAATGCTCTTTGTTATATTACTTTGAAGTTGAAAACAAAGCGAGGTTTTATTAGTTACTTAAAAATTGTTACTAAGTGATAATTAATTAATATTTATTTATAGATATGAGCGCTTCATATTAAATTATAGTCTGTCAAAATGTGCACTGAATGATGAACGAAACTACTTCTAGTGCTTGTAGATAAATGGAATAATTGAGTAAAAACAAAAAATGTGCTACACTTTCTTCATCTACTTTTAGTGAACAAGTTAACAAATGTATTAGAGTATAAATTTAGATGAAATCGGTTCGACAATACTTGAAACCGAACCGAACCGGTCCCATCACTGGTGTCCGAACACTAATTATATAAAGCTTGATGAAAACTATAATTTGAACAGACTCTGAATATGTACGTAGTTGTTCATTTACATCTTTTGTGAAACCACATTGGTACGCTTTTCATCTTTATTAACATACGATACGAATATGATCAAGGATAGACTTCATTTTTCTATTTTTTATTCTACCTAATACAACAATACTTAAAGTCTTTTGTCTTATGTCTCATCGATCAATAGTGACGTAACCAAGGGTGGCTAGGGGAGACTGAGTCTTCCCACAGGAGTTTTGAGCTCCCCCCCACGCAATAACGCCACTTCAGCTGCAGTCCACTACGAGCTCTCCAGTGACCAGAGCCCAACTAGTAAATCTCACTCACCAACAAAATTATGGTTACGTTATTATCGATCAAGCAAATATATGTTTTTGTGTACATTTTTATGGTCGATTGTCGTATGCGCTAAATTGTCCTTTGTCTATAGAGTTTTATTATTCAGTATCGATTATTATTTCACTCGAAGTTAGGGGGTATAAATAAAAATTTAGATATTATTTTATTGTGAACAAGATTTGAGTAAAATAATAACTCTTAGTTGTTTTATTCAACTGTCTAAAATTTCCATATTGAATTTATAATACATGTGAGTCATTGATAATCAGCAGTTCACTTGATGAAAAAGTGCGAACCAATAGAAATGGTTCAACTCAATTCGTGTATGACACGGGAAACATCAAAAGATTTAACACATTTTTTAAATCGATAATAATCTATATTTGTCTAAGTAAAACATCAACCCTCACCACGACATACATCAAGGACACTGCAGTTTAACGTCATGTATTTTTAATCATGTTATTCGAAAAAAAATTCCCGTCGAGAAATGGTTTGTCAATCATTTTTAGTAATTCAAAATATTCTGACCTCAAATTCAATACTAAACAGTATTAAAGATGTGAAGAAATCGATTTGGTTTTGCCTCAACATCAGCATGTTCAATCGGATTTATCACTTAAAAATATCAAGATCGTCAACAATATGGTAAACAAACCCGAGAGACAACTAGTCAAGAGATGGAGAGATCGTGGCTGACTTCAATATTATGTTCTTCGAAAGTTGTATTTTGTTGCAATAATTATATATTTTCTCCTTCAATATGTGTTTGCTCCCTATGTATCATACATGTTTTTTGTAATTGCACAACAATGATGCTAAGAATGAAATTACATATAGTCATGGCTTTCTTTTTCTTTTCGAATGACAATGATTCATTGTATGTGTAAACGAAAAGAAAAAAAATATTCATATCGTGCCAGTCAGGAATCGAACCTGAGTCTGCTGTCCGACAAACAGCTATGATACCATTACACCACAGACACTTGGTATGAATTATAATGAGAAACTTAATCAATGCTGCTTCGAAAACATTTCATCAATCGTGATACATTCTAACATGATGAATAAGAATACATCATCCGACTTCTTTCTTGCATGTTTCCTCTCTTAAAGTTCAATTCTAATATTATCAAGTTTGCTAAATTTATCAAAAATCTCGACTAACAATCTCTTCTTCGAATTAAGATAGGCAAAGGATGACATCCTTTATTGTAAAATTTCATACCGTTGTATTCACTTTCACGTAATCACAGTTCAAGGGTGTGGGTGTGTGGGTGTGGGTGCTGTTTAAGAGAAGATCTACACCCACACCCACACTCTGTAATACGTCGTAGAAAATTATTATATCATGTTCGAATAATACTTAATGGAACAATTTGTTCGGATGTTCAAGAAACATTTTGAAAAAATAATCTTATATAATAAACAAAATTATTAAGCATTTTTGATAGAAATTCAACATTTGATGTAACTGTTCATGGTGTTATATCATGTCGTTGAACTTGTTGTTCAAACTATGCTAAAGGTTCACAATGCTTATACCTAATAAACCATCACCTGGAATAGTTGTTTGATGTTGAAACCGCTAAATAGTGTTGATACTAATGATGAACCATCTCTCGATTCATTATCTTATATAGGAAAAAAAACAGAAAGAATTTATCTTAAAAAAAGAAACAATACTTTTAAAAGAAAACCTTTTATTTTATTGATCTTAAAAATTACACTTGGTTTTGAATTTTTTATTTTTCCAAGATAAAGCCATGATGGTCCTTCTATACTTGACCAACTAAAATAAAATAAAAACGGATAAAAAAGAATCGATAAGAAATAGATATTGTTTAAATATGACATAATAGTTGCCACCACCGCCGAAATTTTCTGTAAATGGTATTTGACCAGTCATGAATACAACAAGATGATTTACATGATCAACATCAGATATTGAAATTACAAATTGAGTTTGGCTTACTTGTTGAAAATTTATTTGAGGCTAGAAGATTTTTCTCAATTAACATATAACTTACTAATCGACCAGCAATTAGTATTAAAAACATAACTTAAATGAAAATCTCTTTTCTTTTAATTAAAACTTATCTACAGTAGATATAAGTATCGATATATTGTTAATTACACATTGAAAAATAAACAATCAAAAAAGAAAAACAAAACAAATCAATGAAATAAAACTTTAATTGCTCGATGTCGTTGTAAATGTTTAAGTCGTTTATATAGTTGATGTTTTGTTTTTCGTAGTAATTGTTCGATAAAATCTAATTGCATTTTTAATTCATCTTGTTTTATTTGATTTGTTTGGTCATCATCATTATTTATATAATTATGAACCATCATATGTTCATCAGCAGCATGTCACTTTGCTAAACCTTTATTATGTAAATTTTTAATTAATTCATTTGTTGTTGATATATTTTCTACAAGAGTTAATTGAGTTATTTGATGATTTGAATGATTATCCAAACGAGATTTACCATATAATGGACAGATTTTATCTGTATTAACATTTCCTAATTTTTTAGATTTGATATAAGGTACCTAAAAAGAACAAAACAAATCGTTTAGTTTATGTGTCAAATTTTATATTGTGTGAAATAAATCATTTTGAATTAATTGAAAATGATGGAAGATCAGAGAACCTTTAAAATGCTAAGCAACTGTTCGTGTTTGTATATTTTCAACAGGAAAAACGATTGATAATGTCTAATATGTCTTCTAAACTATGAGAGTCAATGTGACAAGAATATATTTTAGAATAATTAATTTTTAATAGATTTTCATTTCATTAAAATCTGACATCTTTCATTTGAATAGAGATCGAATTTCGTTATAAGATAGCAACGAACGATATTTTTTTCTGTCCTTTTGTTTCTAAATCATTTGAAAGCTAATAAAAATATCCAAGGAGAAATTGTGTAATAACAGGACCATGATGAGAGAATTTTTTTACTTAAATTAATATCAGTTGATAATATTTTTGTTTTTGTCCAGTTTGTTTATCACCGAATCTCATATATGTACTTCATTCCGTTTACCATCATCTGTAATAATTGAACCTGAATAACTAGATGAACGTTTATTATCTGATCTTAACAATTTTTCATTAATTAATGTTTTAGAACTAAAATCATCATCACATAAACGACAAGGATGTGTTTGATCAAATTTAATTTCAAGTTGATCTAAGACTTTAACATCTAATTTAGCTGTTCCACAACTCCAATTAACATCAGATGTATCTTTTCTTCCACTACTAGTATTGCCTGTTCGAATTGTTATATCACCTTTATAAGAGCGATAATATTTACCAGTTGGTGAACATTTTTTAGCATCAATATCGGATATAATTGTGTTTTTCATCCGTTCTTTTTGTATGTTCAGTAAGTAAATTATCATCAAAACCTATATCCATTTCATATTTATAATCTTCATTACCTGATGTATTGAAAATACCACGTAGAGTAACTTGATGTTGTTTAAATAATGCATAAAGAGAATTTTGAAATTCTTATCCATAATAAATTGAACTTGTAAACACATTTACTTGACTTATTGATTGAGGATTATATTTAAGCTGTAAGTGATGTGCTTAATGCAATACCATCACCAACACGTAATGTTTTACTAACATGAAGTGTTGTATTAAGTGAACCATCTGATGAAAAGTAAAAACTAATTGGTGCAATTTTCTAGAAAAAAAACACGTAAATTTAATAAAAATTATTTTTGTTTTGTCGTACTGATGAAGCAAGTTTAAAATCAAGGGTGTTTTATTTAAAAAAATTTAACCAATTGAACATTTATATAATATATTAGTATTGCGTTTTAATATACCAAATAAATGTAATGTTGACCAACGATGTACATCAATATTCGATATACCATGTAAATGATCATCATTACCACGTAAATATTCTAATTCATTATCAATATGTACTAATGGTGGTTGATTTTCTTTTCAACGATCAATATTAAGGTGAGCATGATGAACAAGTACTGGTTGAGCAAGTTAATTGTGATGCTATATGATTAAGACGTCCTTATTTTGAATTTCGTTCTAATGCTAAATCATGTGTTATATATGGTAAATATTTCAATGATAATGAAAGTGCAACATGTGTTTGTAATGAACCATCAACCAGTTGTATTATGATCAATAATAAGATTTCTATTTATTTCTTTTAATGCATCATCAATACGATAAGCAATTGAATTATATGTTGATAATATTTCTGATTGTTTTCTTACATTGCCATGAAGATTAATTAATTAAAATGATTGATGTTTAGGTGCTTTAAGTGACATTATAAACACCAATAAATGATTTAGATGAATCTGCTTTTGGTCGACAATCAAAACGAACAAATAAATCAAGTTCCATATGATTTTTATCTTGAACGAGATTTGTATCAATATCCCAGTGTGTTGCTAATGAACATCATTTCGTACAAATAACAAAATTTCCTTTTGATGTTGCGTTTTTTTTTGTTTATTATCCCATTGTAATTCTGATGTACTTTTACCAAAAAATAAATGATTATCAATTACTTGATCAACTTGACTATTATATGTAAATGAAGCTGAACGTTGATAACAACGAAGATCATATTGAAATTTATAATTAATTTTATTAAGTAATTCAAAATCAAGATCAGATAAAACATCCACTTCTTCATCTGCCTTCGTAGAGAGCAGTCGCATTTTTGCTCGTCCGCGTACATACTCTTCTTTCTTCGTATCCTGCGAATACCTCCCGTACTGCGCGGAGGAGTGACTTTATGTCCTCAATCAATTTTCAATTAGCCGAAATGAATAGATCGAACAATTACGTTCGTACAGCTCACGTAACAACAAATGAAATAGGTATGAATGATCAACACCAGATGGATGGCCGACATCAGCAGTTTTATTCTCAACCAGCAGTGTATGTAGATGACAACGATATGGAACAACGAGAAGGTCTTCTTCATTCATTAGAACAAAATCCGCACATGCTGCGGGATTTCTATCAATTTATCGAATTTACACGAGNTCTTCTTAAATGAGAATATACATCTGTTTGAACTTTCTTCTTCTGCTTCTTTGTTTTTTTTTCTCTTCCATTTAATTTCTTGTAATACTGGTACGAACAAGACGGTGAACTAGTATATGAAGATTCTATTTTTCTTCTTCGTCCGTACCAGTATTAAAAGAAATCAAAAGGAAGAGAAAAGAACAAAGAAGAAGAAGAAGAAGAAAGTTCAAACAGATGTATATTCTCATTTAAGAACACAATTATCAACTCTGAAGAAGAACGTATTACGTGCGAAACGTCAGTTATAATACATATAGACATATTAATATTTACATATAATATCATATATTATATTTTTGTACATTATAGTTAATGTTTTACAGTTATTTTATATATTTTGTATATTGAAATTTATATATCTTTATATATTATATCGTATATATCTCTATATTATACTTAATAAAGGAAGAGCTAATTATCTTTAAGAAGAATGGTTAATGTTTCATTGACTAAAGACAACATTATCAAACTCATTAAAAACAATGATTCATGTATAACATTTCTAAAGCCTAAATCATCATCATCACAAGTTTCACAAGTTTGATCCAACTTTAGTTATATATATATTAACAATAAAAAACAGAACTTTGTTGTATGCGATAATTGCAAAGAAGTATTACATCATACGTCTTCTAATGGCACAAGTAGTATGACAAAACACAAAAAAAACTTGTAGCAAAATTGTAACTAATAATGATGAATATCGAAGCATCAAAGAATATTTTGCCACCACAACAGCTCAATCAATTCCAAGAAAAATTAAAGAAAAAATGACTATAGCATGTACTGAATTTGTTGTTTTGGATAATAGGCCGTTCCAATAAATATGTGGTGATGGTTTTGTCAATTTAGCTGAAACTATATTTAATGTTGGTAGGAGTATGTCTAAATCATCAAATATTAACATGGTCGATTTATTACCGAATCCCACAACCGTAATTAAAAACGTTAAGAAATAAACCTAGTAGATATGCTTTTATATATTTTAGATCAGTCGAAACATCGACAGAATGTTCAGCTATAGAAAATCTCAATTAATAGATCTTTGTAAAGCTATGAAATGGTATACGGTGGTCGTGGATTTTTGGACAGATGCTCATTCAGGTAAAGTGTCGTTTTAAACTTTTTTATGTCTATTGCATTAATAAAAACCGCGCTTAAATCTACACAAAATATGTTTTGCTCGATACTTCTCGTTTATTCTAGGTGTACAATTTTGTGGAATTGCACTTCATCATGTAACTTCTCGACTAGAATTACAAGATTGGATTCTTGGTTGTTATCCCTATGATTGTGAAAATCATAGTGCTCTTCAAGTACGACAATTCGTCAATTCTAAATTATCCGAATTTCATTTGAAGCTCGATAATGAAATATTTGTGGTCACTGATAATAAAAATTGCATGAAGGCAGCATTTAAAGAATCATGTTCAAGAATTGGTTGTTCAATACATTATTTGAATAAGCAACTGGAACATGCATTTATGACAAAAGAAATTGACAAAGTCAAAGTTAATTGTAATGTAGCTCAAGAAATGTTTTCAAATATTAGGAAAATTGTAGCTCATATGACTAGATCTCATAAACAATGTAAATTATCTCATAAAATTAAATCTTATTCAGAAACAAGATTTAATAGAGCTTTTATTACAATGGATATATTTTTACTCGTATTCGATGAATTGATCACTGTGTTGGATTCGAGTTTTGTAAATCATTATTTATCAATTGATAAAGAATTATTACAATGCATTTGTTCATTTTTAAAGTCATTTGAAGCAGTAATTGAAGAATTAAGTAATGATACTGTTCCAACAATTCATAAAGTTTTACCTTTACGAGAATATTTGCTAAATCATTGTCGACTTAATCCTGATGATAATGATGGTGTGAAAGAAATTAAAATATTCTTAGGTATTTCACTGATCCCACCGCCTTAGATCTTAATAACATTTTCTTCCTATGTCTTGCACGTTCAGTGGCATATATGGAGTAAAGATAAGACTTGATTATGCCTACATTCCGAAGTGATTGCGTAACCCTAATATCAAGACTTATAAAATCAAATTAAGGTTTTTTTCCAAGTTTTTCGTCGCGCAATGAGATTTCTAAAACCTTTGTTGATCATTTTAGAATTACGTATTAGAAATGTTTGGGTCTTACATGATGTGCATTTTATTACAAGTTTATTGCACCCTTCATTCAAAAATTTTCATTTAAATCCAGATTTAAAAATAAAGGCGATCAATTTGGTAAAGAAATAAATTTTGCAGCGATTTTCACCAACGATCAACAATAACTCCTCAAATACTACAGCAACTGCTGATACTCAATTAACATCTTCAAAGACCCTTCTTTCGAAATGTTTTGACTTATCAACTGCAACTGTCAGGTCTTCGTCAACACCGCTTGATGAACTTACTGAATATATGCAATTGGACATTCGATTAAATGAAGATGATGATGTATTGCTTTTTTGGTTACAGCACCAATCAAAGCTTCCTATTTTAGCATCGATTGTACAGAAGTTTTATGCAATACCAGCATCAAATACCTCAGCCGAAAGACTATTTTCATCGTCTAAAAGTACAATAAGTGATCGACGTACCAGACTTGGTACTGAAAAAGTAAATAAATTACTCTTTCTGCAAAAAAATTTGCAAGTGCTGAAGAAATTAGATGCAACAACACTGAATGTAGCTCTTGAAGTTCAAGTGAAAAGAAAAACAACTGAACCATCATCATCCTCAATTTCAATTCAAAATCAAGAGCAATTGATGGCAACAGCTGCAACAAAAAAATTCCAAATGGTTGAGCAAGATAACATTTTTATATGTGATGATGATATCGAAGAAGATAAAAAAAAAGATGAAATTGATTCTTTTTAGCAATTGTTTATAATTAAATAAGTATGTCTTGAACACATTGTATTGTAAAATGTTTTCTTATTGTTTTACTTTCTCTTACACTTTTTCAACAAAGGGTTTTTCAATAAATATCAATTGCGTTTTAATTGAACAACTATAGAATGAAAATTTCACAAATTCAATTTTTATTTTTTTGCATATATTTGATGATTTAATGGCTCCGGTTCCATGAAATATTTTAGGAACAGAACCGGAACCGGCTTTTTTCATTTTTAGGAACCGGAACCGCGGTTCCGGTTCCTGTTACATTTTGGAACCGCCGATCTCTAACCCACACCCACACCACATCACACCACACGACACCACCCCCACCCCCACCCCCACACCACATCACACCACACCACACCCACCCACACCCACATCCACACCCACACCCACACCCATACCCATACCCACACCTTTCTTTCTTTTCCATTTTTTGTTTTTTATTTTTTGTTTTTTGTTTTTTGTTTTTTGTTTTTTGTTTTTTGTTTTTTGTTTTTTGTTTTTTCCGTTTTCTTTGTTTTGTCTTCAATTTGTTCATCCTTATGTTATGTATATACCACGGTAAATAAAGATGAATCAATTGGTCGATCCACGTTTCTGATAAAAAGAATTAATTAAGAGGAAAGTAAAGATTAGATAAGGAGGAACAGAATGAAAGAAATTGCTCTGAGACAAACAGAACGCGACAAATTGCCATGCGACGAATTTGTACGGTCATCATCAGGAAAGATCGCATTTTTTTAAATTTCTGTCATCATTTTTCTCTAGTAAAATCTTTATTAAAACGATGTAATTTACATCATTTCTACGTTTTCTTTTGTTGCACGGGTGCCAAGTGGACACACTCACAATGTGAACTGAGTCTGTAAATTTTTCTTTATGAATGAAATAATGAAATTGTTTCCAACATTAAGATTGATTTCATTCTTTTGATTTAAAAAACATTGAAAAATTTTTACTAAGAAGGTATTCATCGACTCTTGGGTAATTGATATTTGAGGAAATATTTTGCCTAAAGATATATGTACTTCTAGGATGGTTGAAATGACGTCCAACATTGAGAAATCGAGCGCACTGCAGAAAAAAATAGAATGTCAGCAATAAAGTTTGGTACGTTTCCTACTCTTACCGTCGTGTTCGATCTGAGACATCGCATTGTACATTGCAATGGTAGTCTCCGAACTAATGATGTTGGCATTGCTCAATGAAATAAATTGCTTTGCTTTCCTTTTTTTCGACTTCAATTTAATCTTGTGATCAGACAATAACCTGTGTAATTTCGCAGCTATATCAGTTGTTAGTTTAACTAAGCCAGACAGATCGTCTAGTGTAGCAACCAATGTTTTAGAATCGATTGGTTCGAGCGCTTCTAATGTTGCTTCATCAACAATGTTAGGCATCAAACCATTGCTTTCAAGAACACTTTTGACAAACGTTTGGCACGTATTATTTTCGCCAGCATCATATACAAAGAAGTCTTTTTCAGCATATAATGTTGTAGTAATTAATTGATTCAGTGTTAATGATTTATTTGGTGGTAGTAGAATATCGTACAGATCTATCATTTCATCAGGTATAACTGGGTCTCTGAGACCAATACGGAATGATTTTTCGAGTACCAGAACTGTTTTACCATTTGTGTTTTCTGGTGCATTTCGAACAATATTTTGTACTACATTGAAGCCATGATTATTCTGAACTGTGATGAGCAAATAATTGTGATAGATTTCATCATAACCAAGTTCATATTGTTTATCAGCAAATTTTGAATGACTTAAAAAGTTAAGTATTTTAATGGCAAGATCTTTTACAGGTCTACGACCAAGTTGGATTTCCAGAATGGGTTCATCACCTATTTCTTCTAATAGTTTTCGTGCTTTTAGGGGCATTTCTGAATGCTTTTTTGCATCAGTAAATAACGATTGATTCCGCGAGAACTATAAATCATTAAAATAAATTACTCATTTAAAATGACAATGAAATATTTTTTTTATATAAAACAAGAAAAAAAAAGATCGATTATCCTTTTAAGAAAATGTCCTGTTTTCATAAGCTCAAAAAGTATATCGATTTTAAAACAAGACTGAATTTATCATAAGATAAAAAAAACTTTTATTCCTACCTGTTCATAAAGTAAATCAACACTTAACATTTTTGTTTAGAAAACGATTTGTTATTGAGTAACGATTAAGTTGTATTTTATGAATGGTGTTAAGGTAAATCTAGAAGAGAAATAACAAGCTATATTGAATGAAATTAATAAACAATCTTATGTTTCCTCTCATCTATTTATTTTATTCACTACAATATAAACAAACTTACCTTATATGGATTATCGACAGTTATTTTTTGGGTTGTTGACAATAGACTGCGTGTAGTGAAAAGTGCTGAAAAGTCAGCTCATTCGAAATCAAAGTTATAGTTCTATAGCTCTTCGACATTGGAAATATTCAATTAGTCACTACCTTTATAGTTTGTTGTAGAATATTATAAATTTGTATTGAGGGAAAAAATCACACATATATATGCTATGCATTTTTTCTTTCCACCACTAATGAATGATGTTATCTGTATCACACGTCATTTTTTCATGTTCTGTTCCGCTTACACGTCTGGAAGTGAACATAAAATTTCACCAAGCAAATTGTCAATAAATGATTGTGTGTCTTTATAATTAGTTTCTTTTTTCTGAATAATCAAAATTAAGCATAGGCGGCGGAACGTATAGGCTTGAAAAGCTTGAGCCTCACCTGAATTACAGCTCTAAGGTTTGATCGCACTTTGGGTTGTTCAGCTTGTGAAAAACCATTTTAGTGTAGAAATTGAAACTTTCTACAGGTTTATTTATCTATTGAGATGAAAATTGAAAAATTGAGATGGTAATGAAGTCTACCATTTATGTTCTTATGATTCTTAGCAGCATCTTTTATTCTATACACTCTAAGTAGTATATAAAATAGACCAATCATCAAGTTGTGCGCTCAAACGAAATGTAGCTGCATTCTGACCATCTATTTTCTCTTTCGTGATTTTATCATTTAACTCATTTGATGGAGTGAAAATACGGGTCTCATAACGTTTTTCAGTATTTTAATCATAGCATCGTCATTTATTGGTCAAACTTAGAATATTTTTTTATCAAAATGATCAGCACAGATAGCTCCACAAAATCTGATAGACGAAGACATTTTCCCGGAACTTTTTGTTTTTATGTATGACTACCCATGGAAGTACACTAGTTACATCCCTAACATTTTTGGAACTGTCCGTGATTCTATAGCTTATTATCACCCTTTGAATTATCATATACTCTTAAATCCAGCTTTTAGCGGCCTTTCATTTTATATAAAAATCACTTGTATATCTCTTTGATTTGAGCTGAAATCTCTGGAAAAACATTTTTGGAAACCCTGTAGAATCACATCGTCTTGAAAGGGATATACTAAGTGACCTAGTCATACAAGTTATAAATATTCTTTCAGTCTTACTGTTACTTGCAGTTGACATCGTAGTAAGGGTTTTTGTTGGAAAAATCGTCGAGCTGCTAGATACTGTAGTCGCAGTACCTAAATGTTTCACATAAATTTTCCATTATGGTTGGTTTCAAGAACACTTATTTACTGGTGGCTGTGATGGACGTGTTGTTCGTTTTATTGACTTGGGTACAGAAATCTAGTAGCGATCGTGGTAGGCAGACTGATCGTGGAGAGCAACAGCTATTGACAACGCACACTGAAGTATTTGATGGACACTGATCCCCAATGTTGCACGAATCAAGTGAGGAACAAATGGCAGCTATGCACAATAGCTAGTATTATTTGCTGTTCGAAAATCATAGCATGTTGTCAATGCTGGGCACCCATTGGTTGAAGCTGAATTCGAGTCGGTAGTCGCGCACGTGTTAACAAAACACATTACGGTTAGCACATTTGTCGTGTCAACTAGCATATTATGATGATAGTGTGAATCAATTCATATAGATCACGGAAAATATGGATTAGAATGGTGAAATGAACCGAAGCCGAACAATCAAGATAAGTGAACATCAAAGTTCGTGTCAGCTGTAGTTGGCACCTTTGACTCAAAAATGCGAGAATGCATCGATGATGTCGACTACGGTTGATACAAACTCTTACGTGCTCTTATTTTAACAAAGTCAAAACATCAACCTCAATACAATTTCGTCTTTCATGTAGACCGAAATAAAGACAGAAAAAGAAGAAGAAAAAACCCACCTATCTTTCGATTACATGGCAGTTTCTCTGCCGTCTTTTTTCATTAAGAACGATTTCATTCATTCACGGAGTCAGCATTTAAAGATCTTCGAACCTATTCCTATAAAAAGTTACGATATATGGCACAAGAGACTTTTAAAATCTAGGTTCATCTTGGGTGCGGGTGTGGGTGTGAATGTGTGTTATTCCGTTGTGTTAGTGCCCACACCCACACCCACACCCACACCCACACCCACACCCACACCCACATCCTTTGATGTGCATTGATAATCATGCTTCACAAATGTTGGATAATGATGAAGTAGAAGACCTAAGTAATTAGTGTAGCAATTCACTGAAAACTATGACTCATATAGGATAAGGAAAAACAATCATGATTCATGTCGGTCTACCGGCCGGTCCCATCGGTCGCACAGATTTGGCCCGGCACCGGTGCCGGTCTAGAAAAAACCCGGCCAGTTGCAACACTTCACTTGATTCCGAGCGTTGCTTCCGCCATCCTCGCACAAGTGATGTATTCCTGTATATATTTCAGTTAAGCGTACACTCGCGGTTTGTAAATATTCGAGTCTTGGTTCTCACTTAACCGCCGCATAGTATGAGGATATTTTCAATTTGCATTGTGCTTTTCGTTTCCAATCGACTTTTACAGCCAATAGCAAACTGGTCAATAACGCTACACTTCGCACACTCTGATTAAGCTCATGAAATCCTGTTAGAGCGCAGTCATGCCTAGCAAGTTACAGTGGACGCTGCTAGATTTTATTAGACTCTGGTTCACCCTAGTAGACCCTGGCAGACCCTGGTAGACTCTACTAGACCCTGGTAGACCCTAATAGATTTTATTAAACCCTGCTAGAGTTTATTACACCCTGGTAGATCCTGCTAGACTCTAGTAAAACCTGATAGACCTGGTAGACCCTAGTAGACCCTGGTAGATTTTTTTAAACCCTGGTAGATCCTACTATATGAAATTCAACTTGCTGTGATTATAGATATATGTTGATATAAGTGTTTGAGATAGAAATTTGTAATTATTTTGTAATTCATTTGTGTCATGGACTCTAATAATTGGACTATAAATTGATTGCTGATTATCTATTCGATAGAGCTGTTGTGCGAAAGTTTGTTAATGCAAGATTGTAGTTTACAATTGGGGGTGTGGGTGTCTATGAATGATATTAACACCCACCCACACCCACACTCACACAACCACACATTCACACCCACACCCAACTAGATTCACACTATATTTTCGATCGATTATTCTTTGTGTTTTACTTATCCCGGTAAATTACTCAATATAGGCAAGTGTCAAAACAAAAATGTTTTACAACTAGTTCCTGTTTATTTTCTTTATATTCAAGGATATATAAGTACCAATTATAGGATTCTATGTAGGTTTTGGTCCTTTAGAGTCTGCTAGGTTCTTTGGAATTCATTACCTCTTTGTTCTATGAGTTTTTCCGGTTTTGACAGTTCTTTGAATACTGTGATTTCATTTAGTTTTTCTTCATGATTGCTTGTACATTTACTAATATGTCGATTCCTGAAATTCTAGAAGTTAAGGTTTCATCAAATTTACTTATAGCTTATTTCTTTGAATAAACAGAACGGTTGTTTGTATTAATATCTAGTGATGATTGAATAATACATCGTTGATTAAGTAAAATAACATTAGTTTTCTCAATATCATTCGGTTTCTCTTGTTTCGCGGATTTCATATGCATGTCTAGGAGATGACCTCCGAAAAGAATGAAGTATACATCAACAATGAAGTTCAGGCCACTTACCGTTTATAGATAGTTCATTATCTAGTAATTCTATGCAGAGAAGCGCGATTCATTTTTTCTATAATGTAATAAAACTTATCAAGACGAGATTAGAACGTAACACAACGAAAAAACCTAAGCACTAATCAATCTTATTAAAAGAATAGTTATTCATCACAAATAATATCAAAGAAGTGCTATAAAACAAAAGATCGAATTGATAGAAAGAGAGAGACGACAGCTTTTATGTTCTAAGCGTAAAATTTCTCGATAGTATGTGAAACTGAGGCATCGCTATATCGCAGTATTTGAGTTAAGATACTTGAACCGTTTGATCAGCTTTTCATTACAAATAATAGAATATCTTTTGTTACTATTCGTCGACACTGATGCACTTTATTTTTGTTAGATTTTGTATAGTTTCCATTCTTTTAAGAATTGTTACATAGTGGATCGAATATTTCTGTATAATGTTAATAGTGATCAGTAGAAATTTCATTAATACGAATCATGACAATATTGTTGAGAACAGACAACTGTTCATTTTTTTTGTCGATATTCTGAGGTTTCGAGTCTCAAGAACCACATAACATACCATAACCAAGCTCAGGTAGATGATTTATAAAATTATTGGTACACAAACACGTAATATAGATGCATACCAGTAGACGATCACAAAAGAAACATTTAGAAATAGTGTAGATATTGAGAATGCCGTATCTTTGGGTCAGTCAATAGATCACTGTAAAAAGCTAAACAAAGAACAAAATCAGGTACTTCTTTTTCTGATCAATGTGAAAGAGAAGATGCTTAGTATTAGGTGTTACCTTATTAAATTCTGTTGTTCTGTATGGTAGCAGCCTCATCATGTGCGATATTTTA